CACAGACAGACAGACAGACTTGTTTTGGATGTCGAGGTCTTCGTGTTCAGAGTGACACATCTCACTGAAGCGAGACACGAAGAAGTCGTAGCTGCGATGGTACGACGGCGTGTCCTCCTCGATGTTTGCAAACTTCACAAACTGCACCAGAGAGAACAGTAACACCGTTATAGATCAAAATAATGTCATCTGATTGCTCTTTTATATTGGTACCATACAGTACATTGTGCAGTACATTGTACGTACAGAGTTGGTGGCGAGGATGTGGAGGTGAGGTTTGTCGGCCTCCAGCAGCAGACGCAGCGTACTGAGGAAACTCTCCACCAGCAGGTTGATGCTCTGACAGTGACAGGCCAGAAGCAGCTGCTCCATCGCCTCCATCGCTATACACACATACCTGTACGACACACACACCGCTGTTACACCTGTGTGTGTGTGTGAGTGTGTTGTGTGTTTAAAGAAGACTGTGTTGTTGTTGTGTGAACCCTGTGTGTGTGTGCCCACCTGACCCTAGCGGATGGCGGTATCAAGCCTCTCAATGGTCAGACGCTAGACTCGTAGGCGAAGGGGTACGCAGCGATGCGGGTCCCAAGTTGTGACTCGTCGTAGCCTGACAGAAGCGAAGAACGTCAGACTTCTCCATGTTGGCCTTCACCTAGCCCGTCCTAACCGGCACATATATACACAAGCACACACACAACCACACCCCAACATTAGCACACCCACAATCTAACCGTCCAAAATTATAATAAGGGAATTATGTGCAACAGACACAATACTATCACACAGCACTTAACAAATTAACAGAGGACACACAACCGTTATGGCGCATCTCTTATTTGGATAAAATCTATATACAAGCGAGCTTAACTCAGAAGATGATTTTTTTATTAAATTTTGGGATATTGAGATCTATTGCTTTTTCAAAGTGTTCAGTTAAGGAAAGAAGCGATCTATGCGACCTGACAACAGAATTGGGAAGTACGATTTGTAAAAGAAACAGTATGTTTCGTGTATAATACGATGAGACACTTAACGATATAATAACTTGCGATGTAACAGGTGGAATGTGTGTGTAAGGTGGTATTACTTATTACGGATCTTCTGAGGTTAATACCACTACCTTTGCACGCATCAAGCCGCTTGTGTTGATTTTTTGTCGGGAGACTGGGGAACATTCAATGCGAATCAAGGTGAATAGTTGACATACAGCATGGCACACTACACCGTCCCTTATATATCATACGGCATGACATACAAGTGCCACACATAGCCGGTAGCATCAAGGGTGTCTGGGTAAGGTGGCATTATTAATCTGCCTTGGTGGATAGCACGTCACTACAGAAAGCATTTCTAGTGGCCATTAAGCTCATTTTTCAACGGATCTTGTGGCCCATTAATTCGTGCAGGTGAGTGGAAAATAATATTTATTGGTTGTATGAACACCTAATTCTACCCTGTGATGATTTGAGTAAAAACTCACCCCTTACGTGATTTCCCACTTCCTTCCTATTAATTTTAAAATGTCCTAGTCGGGTCGATTAATGGTGATTATACCATTGCGACCCAAAAGATGAGTCACAATGCAGTTGAGAGATCTGCTATATCCTTGATGTCATATAGCCACAGAAGGACCACTGCAATATCCTGACTATCATAAGCAGATGTATGTGGTTGAGTGTGAGTCTAGTTGCAGATCGTCTTGGTCCTGTTACCGTCGTGGACCGGATAGAGAATCGTCTCTTGCCTTACTATCCACGAAGCGAGATATTGACTATTGATAGATCTTCCCACTTATTCATGCGTTCAAATAGAGCTTTATTTATCTGATTATCTCCAGATATGGGTGTAGAGTTGCAGGTTTGAGATCTAACATAACTTTGTCTATGTTTTAGTGTAGCCAAATTGGAAAATGGTGGTAGCTCAGGAGAGGTCTTGCTTTTCACACCACAGGGGAGGCGCCTCAGAATAATGGTTAGATTCTTACACATAGGCCTTAAGTTATTTGTACCACTGATTGTAATTTGAATGTTCATATCATGTTACAAATACTATGGGAAGGTTCATATGCGAAGTCTGATCACGATTATGTGAATTATTTTTGAAGATAGTCTAGCGCAGTAACCCTGGATTGTGTATATATCAGCCCGCAGAGAGAGCTGGGTGAATTATCGCGCTATAAGAAGCGACGTGGGAGTACTGTCAAGTTCTATCCTTACCCACCCCCTACGTCACAGCGCTTTTCCAATGCACAGACATTTCAGCAGTTACTCTTATATACCATAGACGAGGTCACCTAGGTGGAGTAACGTTTGATAAGCAAGAACTACTCCTGTCACTGCCAACCATTCCTTCTTATTGTAGCCTCCGCTTTAGATGTTGTTTGTATCGCAGTTTGTTGATGGAAGTAGTATGTGGTTAAAAATATTGTGAAAAACAGCAATTATCCAAGCCCATACAAAGGAGCCCAGCCAAGCAACTCAATTGGGGACAAGGTTATGAAAGTGCCTTACAAGACGCCATCTTCGTGATTATGGTATCTTTTTATCGATGAATCACATCTGTCCCCTCTCAGAAGCCGTTTTACACATTCCTCATCGCGATAACGCGGCGTTTTAGAGTCACATGATTTCGAGAAGAGCATCTCAAATCTATAGAACGAGGACAATTCAGGCTCTGCAGGATAATACAATGTTGCAGATGGATGTTTGCCTTGGCCAGAAACTGGATGTGTGTGCTAGTTGTGTATGCGTGAAGAAAGAAAGGTAGCCAGGTATAAAGGAATTGACTTGGTAGTGGTCATAACAGGCTCAAAAAGGAGAAGTTTATAATAACAGTAAGTTTAGCTATGGCTACAGCGCAAGACATGTCCTTGTATTCTCCCACTGTATAAATAGTCGGTCTAACATTCTCCAGCAACCTTGACCATAGTTTTTTTCTGAATAAAGAGGCAAGAGCGTTGTCCAGGATTTCATACATAAGAACTAATTGAAAATCCCTAGGAAGTCACACTAGCTTTATCGCGTGTGGTATCTATTGGTTTGTTCCCTTGATTTACTCATCACAAGGTATTCAGTCCTGAAGGGAAGCCACCTAAAGCATGCAGGTAGTCTTTCCAGCCACACATATTTAAACCCGGTAGTCATAAATTCTACCAAGATACTAAACACAACGAACATTCTTCCTTCACACTTATCAATTTTTTCATCTCTCTATATGATGTTCTAAGTAGATTTATTAATATGGGTTTTTTTTGTGGCGAGATGATACTTATAAGGAGACAACTACTATCTATTTCTATTTTGTTACATTAGGACCACAAACTTTTTAAATGTTGTCACTATCCACTTGACTGCCAAAAAAAAATAGAACCCTTTCTGTGCTTATAACAACTAATACACGTACGACACACCAACACAGTATTGCAAAAACTACGTAACACACTGACAAGAGGAGCTCACCATAGGTGGTTTGTAATACAGTGAGACACAAAATCATGTACATGATCCATAGTTTAGCTGAAGCCCTCTTCAAATAGGTTTGTCCAATCTAGTGGGTGATCAATCTGCCATTATGCCCACAGTTGCAACATATATAATCTTACAAGGAGATCTGTATGCTAATAGATCGTTTTATATCCACGAACTCTGGACCCTCCTGTATTGGCGTGGAGGTTTAAAAGAGGGAGAGACATAGTATTGTGTAAATATTAGTCTGCAGGTGGTTGCCCAAGATGTTCGCACTGAGTTTTTCTTAAACTCAGGGAGAATGTTTTCGACACCCCATCAATGTGTACAGTACCTTACTGAGATGTGAACTGTGGGTAAAGCATCCACATATCATGTTTATAATTGGCACAGAATGGATGCTCAGACTATACATACAGAAAACAAAAAGGGTATTTCCAGACTGCCGCTGCTTTAAGCATAACTTCCATTGTGTTTTAATTTGAGCTTAAAAACTATAAATTCCTATTGCTGGAGTTAGAAGGAGAGTTGAAGGCAATCTTTGATTTGCTTAATGGCCTTTAGTTACTCTTAACTCAAAATAGAAAGTAGCAGAGGAGGGGAATTATTTTCTCGTTATGTTATTCATGTTCTTGCCAATAAATAAGAATGAATATGATGAGAAAACTACCAAAAAAAATAAAACGAACAACAACCAGATAACAGCTTCATCCAGATTAGGTCGTTCGTTTTTTATCCCTACCAGTGCATCAATAGCCTTGCCACGTTGGTCTGAAGGAGAAATCATACCGGACTGGGACAGACTCGGACGTCAAATGAGAGAGAAAATAAAAATGATGACACATGTGAATAAAAAAAATGCAGATCTATTATAGTATTATGTTTTCAGTTTGTTTCTTCGCATAGCATAGTCTACACACACCTTCCTGACAATGTCGCTATGACGGCATACTCATACAAAGGGAAGATGAGACATTCGGCAGTCAGTAACTAAGTGGTAAAACAATATGATTGTCTCTCATTGAAGAATCCATGTCAAGATACGGCCGCTGGTCTCCACACAGAAACAGCTTTCCAAAAGCCCAATAATAACAAATGGTAAACAACGCTTTTGCGTCAACAGTATCAGTTAGACAAGGCTTACGGCGAAAAGGGACAGGAAGATATTTGGAGAGATATTAGCTTATTTGAGAGAGCTATTCTGGATGGGGATGATTACAATTGGACCAACATTTTCGATCACCGCACTCACTCTTTACCTTCTTCTAACTCACTCGGCCTCAGCCTTGATCCTGCGTCCGGGGTAGCCTATCTACATAATATTGAGGAAGCCGGCTAATTGGAGACATCAGCCTTTTGTGTCGATCATTGCGTCTTTAATATGTCCAAGACGGATTTGTCCTGAAAGCAGACCTGTAACATTATGTCAAACTTCACAATGATTGTGTGTGCCCTTTCCAATAGTAGACAAATAACCACTCCAGCCTGTCAGCTGTATTTCAATGCTGACAAGGTCAATTTTTCTATTATTTTTTGTCCTCTCCTCATTAACATCTTAATGCAGGATAAATATAAATAACAAAAGCGGTCTGTATTATTCAGACTTGCCAATACAGCCATCAAGCGAGCGCAAACAATACTTCCGTTCCAAAATCTATTTCCCACGATTACGAATAAATCCACGCATGAATGTCGTAATCGAGCTGCTTCTTAGGAGACTTTTAATTACAACTGAACTATTGTCTATAGCGCTTATCGAAGGCGGATTCTATTGCCATGGTTGCTGTATACTGAGCGGGAGGAGCGCCTTGCACTAGGTGTTTTAAGCTGTAGGTGTAGCAGTCGTATAGCTAGTAGTATACATACTGGTAAAGGTAGATGAACAATATGTGAAACACTTTATCGGTGCACCATTTTTGCCTGGTATACGGTGCATAAAGATATAGCAAATGTCCGGGGCTAGATTCATCCCTGTGTGCTTTTTAAGGATTATAGGATTGCAAAAAATAAAAACAACACGAGTCTCCCTACCAGTGGTTGTAGCTGCCCCCTTAGTTAATATACCTAATAAGTCTGCCGTGTATTGGAAAGGTGTCGTGAAAATAGTAAAAACTCTGCTGTGATTCCCAGTCAGACATTGTGCACCAGTCCCCATCCACCAATTCATAAGTAATTGCAAGACCACTGTTAATCCTCTATTTGTCCAGCCTGTTATTTCAAACATCCATTACGAATCAAATATTAATACATACAAACTTTTTCCCCACAAACAGTCTTTGATTCCAGTGAAAATGTACTCTTGAATATGGCTCAGCTCGAATCATATTTGAAATATTCTTTCCGCTGTTTCCTCATTTGCAGCTACACCGCAGCGCCGCACTACCAGTCACCCTGGTGTTAAAGACTGTGATTTGTAATTCTTATCACTAGATTGTTAAAATTTTATCCTAGGATCAAATAATCCATCGGTCACAGTTTGGGATTTCTGATAAGCTTGGGATCCTATTGTTATATTTTATGATCTTTTGCGTTTAAATTGGGGTTAAGATATGGTATTACTACTAGATTTCTCGTTCATGTTACATTGGGCACATGGTTCCCACCGCGGGGTTAGAAGAGGGAACCTGAATGTTTAGTCATGTCTATGAGACGTCGTAGAGTGGTACGGGTTGCATGCCGTAGTAGCGACGAGTTCTTGACAAATAAGAGGTTGGACTGAACTTTCTATGCCGAAGGGCAGGATTCCACGTTCCATCAGACAGGGAACCCGAGCACTGGGGCTCGCACAGGACTAAAAACAGCCTGTTGTGATCCACTTGAACGGACGTCTGAACTCACTCTCATGGATCCATCTTTTAAACTTCCAAAGGATGGGCCTCTTCCACTTCCTGCCTTTGATCAAAGGTGAAATTTTTAAAACCTGATTCTGCTTTTTTATCAGACCTTCAGTTGCCTCGAGAATCTT